TATGATTTTTGTTAGTTTTAACCGATTATTTTTGTGCACTTGTCCTTCATAAGCACATTCTGCTTTCTCTCTCACTGGTGACAAAACTTTATTCCGATGAACCCACCTTTTGAAGGTTAGTTTTCGTTTTTCGTTTTTCGTTTTTCGTTTTGAAGAACTTATGTGTTGAACTTGTTTGTTGTTGTTTTTTTGTTGAACTTGTTTGTTGTTGTTGTTTTTGGTTGAACTTGTTTGTTGTTGTTGTCTGATTGAACTTGTTTGTTCTTGGTAATTATTGTTTGTTGTTGATACTACACTACACATTCATAGTTCATGCTTTATAAAATACCAAAAACTGAAATTTGTTGTTTTTCCTACTTTTTAGGTTTCGTAGAGTTGTAAAAAAGAATCACAATTAATTAAAAGAAACAAAAAAAAATTGATTAACGCCGAATATTGACAAAATTCGACGATCGTATATTGGGAAAATTCGACGTTAATTTAACGTCGAATTTTTTAAATTCGACGTCAATTTAACGTCTCCTGATATGACGTCGTTCGCGAATTCGCCATTAAAAACCCAAAATATTCGACGTTATACGCGATTTTTGTACTAGTGTTAGAATTAGCATCATAAATGGTACTCATTGGTTTGAATTCATAATACCTAAACTTCTTGAGAAGTTTCGCAATGTATTGTTCTAGGAATAGTAATATATTATCTTCCTTCTCTATGATTATAACACCTAAAATTACATTGGCTTCACCCATGTCTTTCATTTCAAAATTTGATCCTAGAAACAAATTAATTATAGCGACAATTTCATTGCATGTACCAAAAATTAACGTGTCATCCACATACAAGAATATAATGACACAATCACCATTTTTCGATTTAGAGTACACACATTTATCAATATCATTAGGTGAAAAATCATTGCATAACAATACATTATCAAGTTTTTCATGTCATTCCTTTCGTGCTTGTTTCAATTTATACAAGGATTTTAAGTTTGCGTACTTTATTCTCTTGACCAGGTTCAATATCAACACTCCCTTTAAGTTGAGTCATATAAATTGCTTCCTCCAAATCACAATTCAAAAAGAAAGTTTTAACATCTATTATTGTATCACTAGCTTATGAATAATTGTTAAGGCTAACAACAGTTGAATAGAGAAGATCTTAATCACAAGGATAAATGTATCAAAATAATCTATGTTCGGTTTTTAAGTAAAGTCTTTTGCTACTAATATTGCATTATACTTCTCTATAGATCCATCAGGGTAATACTTTTTCTTAAAGATCCATTTACAACCAATGAGTTTTGCTCCTATAAGTAAATCTACTAAGGCCCAAGTACTATTTTTTAGAATTGATTCAATTTCAGTCCTAATGATTTTATCCCATTGTTTTGCATCAGGAACACTAGTAACTTCTACAAAGCTTGGATCATTTTCAACAAGAAAAGTATAAAAATAATTACCAAAGTAAGTTTCCTTCCTTTGTCTTTTACTTTTTCTCAAATCCTCACACAAAACATTATTATTATTATTATCATCAATAAGTTGAGATGTTTCACTAACCTTTAAGGGAAAAACATGTTAAAAAGACTTAACATTTTTTGTCCTCACTATAGAATTACACTCAAGTACTTCACTTTTAAGAATAGGAAACCTATAGGCAGCACTATGTTTAGCATAGCCTAAGAACATGCAATTAGAGGTTTTAGAGTTTATTTTCCATTTCTTAGGATTGGGTAACATCACCTTAGCTAAACACCCCCACACTATTAGATATTTAAGATTAGGTTAATAATTTCTCCACAATTCATACAAAGTTTTACCAGTTTTCTTATGAGGTATTCTATTTTGTACAAAACACGCAAAAAGTAGAGCTTCTCCCTAAAGGTTATCAAGTGCAGTAGAACTAATAAACATGACATTCATCATTTCCTTAGGTGTTTTCTTCTTTCTCTCGGCTATTCCATTAGACTCAAGTGAATATGGTGGGGTTACTTCATAGATAATACCTTTTCTAACAAATAAATTATTAAACAATATATATTTACCACCTCTATCTAATATAATCCTCATAATTTTCTTATTTAATTTATTGTCTACTTCTACTTTATAGGTTAAAAACATATCAAAAGGCTTAATCTTGAGGTTTGATTAAGTACACTTTGGTGTACCTAGAATAATCATCTATAAAAATTACAAAATAATGTTTACCGCCTCTAGACATGGTTTGTTTTAAGTCAGCTAGGTCAGTATGAATTAACCCTAACACTTTAGTTTGACGATCTATAGGATAATATATTTTCTTTGTTATTTTAAATTCTACATGTATATCACATTTACTATTATGTTTATCATGCATATTAACTATTCCTAGTCTCTATAATTTCATAACATATGAGGAATTCACATGTCTTAATCTAGCATGTCACATATCATATGAATTAATAATATAAGCAGAAGAACACAATTCATTCATATTTTCATAAATGTTGAGTATAAAGAGACCTTGATCACAATATCCATTTTCCACAAAAACATTATTTTTTGTCATTACAATCTTACCATACTCATATGACACTTTAACCCCCACTTTTTCCAATAATGCTACATAGATTAAATTAACTTTGATTTATGGCACATGTAGCACATCACTCAAGGCTAGAGTTTTTTCAGATGTGAGCTTGAGAAGAAATTTTCCTTTTTCCATAATAGGAGTTTCCTGAAATCATCGAGGTAAACTTGTTCTTCTGCATCCCCTACATTAGTGTAGGAGGCAAAGGCACATATGTTTTCATAGATATGCCTGGTAGCTCCAGAGTCTATCACTCATTTGTGCACATTGGTCGTCAAATTTACTTGTGAAACGACCGCAACAATAATACCATCTCCTTTGGCTACATTTGCCCTAGGAGGATTGTTGTTTCTTTCTTTGCACCTGTAATGTGGTACAAGATGACCCTACTTTCCACATACTAAGTATTTTCTTTTCTTCTTAAAGGTGGGTTAGATCCATTCGGACGAGATTTTCGAAAAATTAGTTTTTCTTTTGTGATCAAGTTTGTGTTTGTACTTTCTAGAAGTATAATTGTCTTCTACCATATTTGTTTTTGCACACAAAGTTTTTTAACCCTTGTAGTAACAGATTCTTTCCTATTGATATTTTCAATAATTATGTGTGATGAGCTTTGGAAGTGACATATGCTTATGACTGTGTTTCAGCTGTTGTTTATAATAAATAATTTTTCGATAAGAAGTTATGAAACAAATTTATCGAGTAAAAGAATGTTTGTCTCTTTGATATCTTCAAGCAGCTTGTGATACTCATTAATTTGAGACTTTATGTCCTTATCTTCAATTATTTCCCAATGATAGTAGTTCTCAATAACAAACCTTTGTCTGATGACATCTTTAACAAGTTATTTGAGTATCAACGAATCTCAAATGTCTTTTTGCTTCCTTATAAGAACAATAGATATCAAACAAATCATTAGAAAGTGTACTAACTAAAGTATGTCGACATACCTTGTTCGCATGAATATAATCTTCAACCTTTTTTGAATTTGAAGGGAGACTGGAGTCGAAATTTTAGAGATGAAAGAAAAATAACAACTTTGTACATGTCTAAAATGGTAGACACACATTCTTACTAGTGCTAGAACTTCTGACCAGAGATGACCTCGATTTTCACACATATGGGAAAAGTTTCACAAAGACTGTCTGAGTTTCGAAAACAATGTTTTTGTTCTTCGGGATTAGTTTGTTGATTATTGTGGATAAGTTCATAAGATTGTTGTAGAAACTGACAATAATAAAAATAAAACCACAAACAAAGATTTCTCGAGACATGTAGATCCATTATCCTCAAAGATTTATTTGCGATGTGTTGTGCAAGTCCTCCAGGATAATACGAGAACTTTTTGAAAATTTCAAGGATCACAAAACTAGCAAGAAGTCTCTTTTGGAAAAAAGTGAAGCCCACAATACAAAGAGGATAAGGGAATAAAGAAGAAACAAGAGGGGAAACTTGTGAAAAGCTTTTGTGCACAGGAGATTTCAATTCGCGTTATTGTGCTAGAGAAAGAAAGCTCATCTAGTGTTTAGTGTGTTTGGAATGAACATAACAACTCTATTTATAGAGTGGAAAAGTAAAGGAAAGCCAATCCAAGAACCATGACTCACGAGAAGAATCTCGAGACTTGTAGGTTGGTGAGATTGTTCGTGGAGCGCAAATAATATCGAGACTTACGGATGAGGGATTTGATCAAGGGAGATGCAACGTTCCAATGTTGTGTGTGGAAACCGTGTAACAAAACAAAGCTCGCCCAGATATAAGATTACCCCACGTATCATATGGTAAACTTAAGATAAACAAAAAAAAATTATAAATTATAGTATTTGTTACTACCACATCTAATAATTTCACATCATTTTAAGAATAAAAACTTAAGACAATTTAAATATTTGTCTCCTTATTCACCTTTCAATGTGTTTTTTAAGAATAAAATTATAAAAATCTCCAATCTTCAAAATAACAATATTATATATATATATATATATATATATATATGATAAACTTGAAATTAAAGAATCTTCTATAATTATTATTCCTCTTATTCCTCGTTTATATACTTATCAAATTATATATTCTAAAGAAATATCTCTTCTGATATTTTGTTATTTATCAAATAGGAGTTGAATAAATTTTAAATTAAATAAACGTTATAAAACATTGATAAATAAAATATTCGTGACATAAAATATTACAAGATACTAATATTATGTAACTATTGTTTTTGCCTTTGTCTTCACATTTATGTGAAAAGGCACAACTCATGGTTCTTCACATTTTTTTGCCTTTGTCCTTTCATCTTCATATATTATTTACCTTCTTAAAAAGAATTATAAGAAAGCACTGCTAGGGAAAATATGAAGATTTAGAATTATTGTATATTATTTAAAATATTTTTCTTTTAGAACAAAAAATTATAAACTGATTTTCCTTGCCGGCATTTGGAAAGAAAATTCAGAATCCCGCGCAAGAGTAACATAACATAACAGCCATCGGTCATAGCACCAGCACCGTCACCGCACTCTTATTCCGATTTCATTTCGCCCGCATTTTCCGTCCACCCGCAATGGACGAACCGGAGTCAGTAACCGCAGAGAGAGTGCCCCATCCTCCCTCTCCGAAGTTAGGGTTTCCTCTCACCGACGCCGGCGCCGCAAACCGTGTCGGCGGTCTCAGCACCATCCTCGTTGCTTCAATTCAAGACGCCAAGGACCGCATCGCGCAGATCGAGTACGTCTTCTGCTCCCAGCTTTATCCTCAATTTAAATCCGACGCGGCATCGAAACGGCGTCACATCGACCAGCTCCAGCGCGAGGTCGACGAGAACATGGCGCTGCACAAGAACCTCGTGGACTTGGTGCAGTCCAAGGTTTCCGCTCTGAAAGACGCCGAAGAGAAGCGAAACGCTGCGTTTTCGAAATTGGAGGACTGCGAGAGCGAGAAGGTGAAGTTGCTCGCAAGAATCGAGGAGTTGGATGAGAAACTGAGGAGGAAGACGCGAGAAGTTGAAGAGGAAAGGGCGCTGCTAGAGCGCGTGGAGGCGCTGACGCGTGAGTTGCAGGATGAGAAGGCAAAGAAGAATCGCGTGACTGAGGCGTATAAGAGGCTTAAGTCTCAGCACGTTTACCTCCGACGGAAGGTTGGTCTCTGTGAGGAGAATGTGGTTGAACAGAACAAATTCGAGAGTGGGAGTGAATTTGGCACACGTCAGAGTCCGGTCGCTGAACTTGGTATTGTGCTAGTTTCTCTTGTAACCGTGTGGTAGAAAACTAGAAAGAGTTTTTCGCTTTTTGTTTTATTGTTATTTGTGAGTATGTGAATCCTTCAACTGAAAAGTGTCATTCAACACTCCTTACTCACCAATTGTCTTTTGCATGCTGTTGCAGTTCTTGCATCTGAGAATCCAAATATCACTATGGGTGCTTGTGAAGCTGCTGAAGTGAGGAACGAAATCCCATTGGAAGACTTTGGAGGTAATTGAATTTTCTCTTAATATTTACTCAACTGTCCTTGTATGAAATGGCCTTCACTTCGATCCGCCTGCATCAAGTTAAACATACATACACAGAGTTTGTTGTCTAAAAGCTATGTTGAGTTAGTGAAGTGTACAATTTAGGTTATTTGATTACACATCATCTACTTCCCATTGTTCTAGGCCTTGAAAGCAAAACTCCAGATGTGTTTGTTACTGGGTGTGAGATAAACGAAGTGAAGTTGAAGCCGTCTGAGGAGGATAGAGGAGCCAATTTGAGTTCTCCATCCTCTGGTTTTCGTGATGTCCCTAAATTTCCATCCACTACAAAATTAGTCTCTGTATCCAGTACAAAGCGGCCAGCATCTTCCTGGAGGCAAACCCGGACTCATCAAAGTCGAACAGGTCCTGACCCTCATGACGATTTTCTTGACACTCCTCTGGAGAATATCAGAGGAAATTTAAATAAGGATTTCAATAAGGAGGACCTCCCAAACCCGATTCAGGAAGACATTAACAACGACAGCTCAGATGATGAAACACAGGATATGGCTGCCAAAAGCAGTCCTCAGAAGAAGCTAAAGCAATATTCTATAAATGTAGTTGACCAAAGAAGTTACAAGTATGTTGAGCCAGTGAGAAAAAAAGCCGAGCGTGAAAATTTAAAAGGAGTTGAGTGCAAACAATGCAGAAAGTTTTATGATGCTGTTCTTCCTAATGCTGATGGCAAGGATGCTGACAGTAAGCAGAACTTCCGCTGTGAACACCTAGATGGTGTTTCTAGGCACCGATATAGGTATGTTCCGCCCATGACTCCTGAGGGATTTTGGAATATTGGATTTGAATCTGAAATGTAAGAGTATATTTTAGACCTATTACTATTTGATTTATAAATGAATTCTGTATCCAATTGAAATTTGTCCCAACTTTAGTTTCTTGGTAAATCTAGAAAAATAACTCTTAGGAACCTTGAACATTAGGTACATTATTAACTGGTACATTGGTAATCTCAATGCCAAGAGGCAAAATTTACCTTTGTACTTCATACTAAGCCCGATTGGACTAATGCATGTACTACTAGTTGTAGATACCTTATGTTGTTGACAGCAAATAAACTTTTTGTTCTCATTTATTATAGAAATAGTCGTTGTACTCTTCTAGACAGTACCTTTTGCTTGAAATTTATTTCGTATTTATTTAGTTTCTTGTGTGTAACTGTTTATATGTATTATTACTGAGATAAACTGTTCAGGGTCAGTGTCCTAGTAAACTTTTGTTTAGGTTGGGGATTTAGGGGATGGGATGGGGAGCTTAATTCTGGATACTATGCCTTATTTTCACGGCTCTATGTAGCACGAACTACTTGCAAGGGACATTTTGTTATAATGAGATGCGATTATTCATTTTGATGAGTGAATTTGTATTGGTCAATGAACATACGGCCGTTAAAGCTGGCCAAAATTTATGTGGGTTGAACCTGAAAATTTACCCTTTAAAGGTTTCTAGTTTTAACAGTTTGGCCTATTTTTAGGTGTTTTTGGAAAATAATCCTTGCAGTAGTTGGTAACGATAATTTTTAAGTCTTCAAAAACAGTTTGACCGAGAAAATACTTAAAACACATGTAGACTAAGAAAGACTGTAAAAAACTATTGAAACTCTAAAATTAAAATAATACCGCTACTAAAATACTATCTTTTTTTTCTGAAGATTGTATTTTTACGAATTTGCTTTGCTGTTTAGAAGCTTTGGATGTGATGACCTTTGGGATTAGGAACAACTTGGATGTCTTTAATTTTGTTGAGCCTAATTTTTATTTGGAGTGATAGCGGGTAGTGGTTCCACTATTCAGACTCATAATTGGTTTTGGTTTTGAATGGCGCACTTAAATGGACTTTGTTGGGGTCTGTCATTCTGGTCAACCTATTAAAAAGATTTATTAGTGGAGAGTAACTGAAAATTAACTGCAAGTAGAGAATATGTTCATCAAAAGTGGGAGAATGTCATAAAAATGAAACTAGAACAGACTGGAAGAAATAGGGCTAGAGGAGGGTGTTGATGGTTGAATAAAAAACTGAAGAGAGCATTAGTTAAGCTAGATGACATAACTACAAACTCATTGTGGCAACACAAATGCGAAGTGTTTTATGTGTGTCTGCATGGATAACTTGAAATTGATGATAGCCCAAAGGCAAATCCACCTTAGTAAACATCGTAGCATCACCTAATTCTCCAGTAACTTGGGAAACAATTTTTTATTATTACTGCATTTAGAGCATAATACACAAACAATGAAGAGCCCTCTTTTTGTTAACTAATTAGATAAGGGATGAACAGGATCTAATGCTATGTTAAATCATACCCACTTGAAGCATTTCGCCAAATGAAATAGGCAATGGTGGTCTTTTTGTGAGTGTGTAGCCATATGGTGTGACGTTCATAGGTGGTGCACTAGGAAGTAGGGAACGTGGTGATCATGGGCACTAAAGGGTGGAATGCCCTGAGGTATTTTTAAAATAGAATTCGTACGTAAGCTGGTTTGAATTTGTGGGGATAAGGTAGGTGTGGAATATGAAATTATATTTTTTATTTCAAATTATGTAATTCAAAATATTTTTAAATTATACGATTTGAAATATATTCTAATTTACGTAATCTAAAATATAGTTTTAAATTGATTAAAAGGTGATGTTGATTATTTTTCATGTTATAGGATTGAAAGAAAAAAAACTGGGTGCAGGTAGCAAATTCCTTCACACTTGTGTTTGGGTCTTTAGCTTCGACCTTATTGTTGTATAACGGGTCTATGGCGTTTACTTCCCGCCTTCCTGCACCTCCACAATTTTTCGTCCACCCACTCATATTTTCGAATTCACCATTTTATCATTTGGAAAAGTATTTTTGGATTATATATTCCGAAAGCTTTTCGAAATTTTCAGAACAATGTTTTTGGAACAAAATTTTTGAAGGAAATTTCCAAGGGAATTTTGAAAATTTTTACCAGAACTCAAAATATTTATCGAAATGATTTATTCAGATTTGTATATTAAATGTTTTGGAAAAAAAATTAGAGAGTGAGTTTTCTTCTGTATTTTTTTCTCTTCTTTCTCTGCAGATGGTGATGAAAGTAGTGATAGTGTGGTATGGTGCGGTTAGTAATCATGGAGGTGCAGGATATAATAGCCTGGGTCTATACTAAGAAACTAAACAAAAAGAAATGTTAAAAATATAGCCTAATGTAAAAAACGTGTTGAAGTTGCAATTCATAAATCAATTACAACGATCATAAATAAATTCATAATATTCACTGAAGTTGGCTTTTTGATTTTCAAATATAGCCATATCAATGAAAATCATAACTTCACAGATTGGTTTCTTTAGTTCGGAACCAGTTTTAACTTTTTCCGTTTGGCTCTTTCACGGGGTAATTTTGTGGCTGATCAGGACTGGAACTCAACCTGGTTTTCAGTCCTATATGGATGAACCGGCATGTAGAACCCAGTTTCGATAACCATGTTAAAGGCACTAACCTGCCTTTGCCATCAACTGTGTATATCATTTGCATTATTTTCTATCATTAATTTATTTTTTGGAGGGGTGGAAAAACTTGTTTGATAAGCCAGAAAGGGTATCACTAAAAGATTCCATGTCACATTGCCCGAGAAGGGATAAAGCTAATGAATGGAACAAATTGCGGTGGCTTTTTCTTCGTTGGAGTTTGTAGTGTTATACTACAGTAACTTTTCTCCTGACTACTTCACATGATAAATCAGGATAAAGGTACGCCTTTATTTCTTCCCCCATGTTAAATTTGTATGTTGAGAAAACATTGTTATGGCCTTCCTCCTTTTGCACGATATCATGACACTTTAAATATTCCCAAATCATTCACCAACCTTAACTTGAGAAAGAAATGTGCTGATGATTACACATAGTTCTAGGATGTTAGTGGATAAATTTCTCTAAAACAGTTCTATGGGAAAATAAAGAAGTTTTTCTACAGTTTGCTTGTGCATAGGTGAACATGGTTTTTACAGACAGTTCTCCAAAAATATTAACTTGTCTAAGTTATGCTTAAATTAATTTTAGGTTAATGAGATTTTTCCTCTCTCGTATAAACTGTTAATAGAAATGTTTATCCTATTATATTTATAATGGATACACAGTGTTGGACAATGCAAGTTGCAATGGAAAAGTGAAAATAAAAAGTGTTGGTTAGTCAGGAAATATAAAAAGTGGAAGTGATTAATAAGCTGGGATTAGGGAGTGAAAACCACAGAATCATCCACTTCCAGGAGAGGGCCACCTAAAATGTAGCCATTAGTGAGGTGGTGGGACGAACTCATGTTTTGCAAGAAAGCAAATGTGGGCCAATCTTACTTTGTGGTTGGTGGATTTTAGTAAACAATGGTGCAAACCATTTTTGTTTTCTTGAGCTATTCATTTCTCCATCTTACTTTTACTTTTACTCTTAAGCGTACTTGGATGGAATACCCTTTTGCACAAAGTTAATGGATGTGGGAATGGATGAAGAACACCATCACGTGCCCCCAAAGTGCTAGTGGTGGCTCGATTATTCTATTCAGTAAATATTTACTGAGAATCTAATTTTCAATCTAAATTTTATACTGAATCAATATTAAAAAATTAAATATCATATAAAAATAAAAATGTATAAATTTATGATCTTAAGATTTTGAATTGACAATAATATTAATAAATATCTTATGTGAATTATACTTAAATCTAATTAGTGCTTTCTGTAAATTTCTCTCCAAAATACTCACCAACATTCAATTCAGTTCTTAAAAATAAATCTAGTCCAACTTAGTTTTTACAAAACGAATCAATCACAATCTAATTACGAAATTAGAGATTGTTTTTTTTTTTTTGTAACTTTTATGTTTTTTCCCTTTACTTTCAAAAGCTCAATCACGTGAAATCCTAACAACCAAAAGTCTTATAGCATGGTAAAGAGGAGAAAATCGATATTCAAATCCTAATTTGATAAGTGTATAAATCTTATAAAAATAATATCAATAACAAAAAATGATATATAGTAAGTACCCTTCCTTCACATTTGCTGAAATGCATTATCTAGTGTTTCTTAAACTTTAAAAACTACGAAGTGTTATTTTTCTGAAAGACCTTTGAAGGTGCACAGAGTATAAATTTTAAAAATCTTCACAATAAATGGAAACTATATCGAATAACTTGTGAAATTAGGATATGAATTTAATTGAATCTCCAATGAACTGAACAAATTTCGTAACATATTAGAAATATTATTTAAAGTTATCTTAATACAAGAAATATTAATTAAAGTTATCTTAATGAAAAGAGAAATGGAATCTCTGAAACCCACATGTAATACAAGAATTTTCAGACCTCTCTTTGACCTATGCTCACTTGCATGCACATGCAACCAGAGCACTCTCATAATAACTTTTGTCCATTGCAACACTTCCCCTAATTATATATTACATCACAAAAACTATCACATTAGATAAATTCAAATCACACTTTGCCTCCTTCACTATAACCAAATCATATATTAATATTCACCAACGGCCCAACACTCATTCGGGTCGGCTCCACCATCAACAAGTCTTCAACGGGTTTCCACACAAACAATCGTTGTTGCTGAACGACGCCGCATCAATATGATCAAAGGGAGACCCGATTGGGATGGTTCCACACAGGTGGTTGTTGCTCAAATCCAAATGCCCCATAAACTTAGATGCGGATAACGAACCGGGTATCCGACCCGAGAAGTTGTTGAAAGACAAGTCAAGGACCATAAAATAAGAATCCGCCACGAAAACATCGGGTATGATACCCGAAAACCCGTTTCGGCTAAGGTTCAATATACCCATACCCGTATTGCTCAACAAAGTGGGAGGCACCGGACCCGTCATAGAGTTACCATCCAATTTCAAAGTAGAGAGAACCTTCATTTTTCCCAACTTAACCGGAATAAAACCGGTTAACCGGTTCAACGATACATCCAAATCCGCAAGCCGGTTCATTTTGGATACCGATTTGGGTACTGACCCGGTTAATTGGTTCCCGCTCAGCAATGCCCGACTCAG